AGTTTATAGAAGTTTCAGCTCATAATCAGCTGACTCCAAGGCAGGGTGGCGTGACAGACAGGCATTGAAAAGTAGAAACAGTTCATGGTGGGCAGAAGGCAGCAAAGCAACAAGGGACAAGACAAACCTCTTTCTGTCATTTATACTGTATCCAGGCTACTGGGATTAGCACAGAGCCAAACCAATCAGTGGACTGATTTAGGAATCACATACCCTCAATCCCAGCACCATGAATCAATCACACACTCTAGATCCAGCCACTTCTGAAAAAGCCCCACCTCTGATAATGCTTGACGCATTGGGGAGGCATCTAAACACAAATCATAACAATTTCCTACCATCTGATTTTTTTAAAAGAGTCTCATCCTGAAATGGCTCCCCAGTGCTGTTATCTCTGGTAGCCCAGTTATCTTCCATTTCTGTGGTATTTCTTGTTTTTATCTGACCGCACCAACTTCTGTTTGCATGGTCTGGCACTATGAGTCCCAGTCATGATTTTCTTTGTCAGACGTTTGCCTGCGACATTGGATGGGGAGGTCCTCATGCCTATTTGTCCATAGGAAGCCCACCTGCGTCTGTACTATACTGTGTCTGGGGCTGTTTAGATGCCTGCTTGAGGCAGGGGTGCTTCTAATAGGCCAGTGATGGCAAACTTCTTAGAGATGAGGACCCAAACTCCAACCCAAACTCCACTTATTTGGCACCAAGTGCCAACACTGCAATTAAACCTGAATATTGAGGTTTTGGTTTTGAAAAAAAAAACTCATATATTAATACATTTTGTCTTAAAATAAAAACAAATAACACATGTGCCATTGATTTGCCATCATTGGCCCAGATGTCCTAGTTGGACATAAGACTGAGGCAGACAGAAGGTAGGGTTAAGCCCCAGAAATTATAGACCGAGGACAGAAGAGTGAGTTGCATATGGAAGAGTTTAAGGAGTTGAGGTTCTAGGAGCTGAAGTCAGAAATCCCACCTTTCCCTAGCTGTGAGCAAGAATTCTTCTTCCCCAAAGTGGGAATTCTAGTTCCAAGGCACGTGTGCCATAGGTTCGTCACCAGTGCCCTAGGCTCTGCATTTCCTATGCTCTGCTGTTATCCTGCCAGTGGACACCATGAGCACAGACGGTTACTGTCACACATTCCCACCTTATTTTCCTCAGCAGGATTTTCACATTATAGCCCAGCTGCCAAGGAGATCTCTGAACCTAGCGGGTAGCTAATATTTATGGGTGATTTACTTGGTGCTAATCACTGTGTTAAAAAATTTAATTCTCAGAGAGAACTTATGAAGTAAGAATTGCTTCTTTTCTATTTGGGAAAATAGGCACCAAACAAGGTGCTCCTGTCACACAGTGATAGGGCCGGGATTTGAACCAAGACAGTTTAAGAGCGGAGTCCACCACATGTCCTCTAGCCAGGGTCTCTCATCTCAGCCTCCTTGCTGCTGGGCTGGTCTAGCACTGTTCTTGGGGTCCCTTCATCACCACCATGGCAATCTCCAGCAGCTCCTCCCATTGGCACTCGATTTATAGCCACCCTCTCTGGTCTCACACTCTGATCTCTTGGCCCATGGACTAAAGGGGCTGTCCCTTGTTCTTTGTCTACCCAAACGTGCCAGGCACAAGGCCACCAATTTTTTGTTTTGTTTTGCTTTGAGACAGAGTCTCACTAAGTAGTTGAGACTGACCTGGAACTATGTAGCCAAAGCTGGTTTTGAACTCACAGTAATCCTCCTGCCTCAGCCTCCGGAGTGCTGGGATTACAGGTGTGTACCACCACACCTGGCCTGGCCACCGATTTTATTTCACTTCAACTGTTAAGCACTAATCAGTCAAAATCCATCCTTTATTCTGGCTGAATTAGGAAGTGGTAAAGGACATACTTCTGTCTCTCTTGCTGGACAGTAAATTCTCCAAGGGGAAGAAATAAAATCCTATTTATCTCAGTATTCTAATATACTTATGTCACAAGGAAGCTGGGCCCTGATGCTGTGAGGAAATGAAGCAGGACTTAAAGAAAAACAAGTTCTTCTCAGCCTTGGGCAGCACCCCCCTTGGGTGGCCTCTCTCTTCTCCCCTGTAGCTGTAACTCCTTGTCCTGGTACAGGTAAAATTGACAACTATGTCTTGTAGGCAAAGTTTATGATACTCTGTTATTCATAAGGCTCTACCTTCTTTCAAGGCTTAATTACAGAACTATCTCTGTCCCATTTCTGTAAACTCGTAGCTATGTCATTAGAAAGAGCACTCCCCCTCCCACCAAATGTGTAGAAACTAGAACCTTTCCTTTGTTCTCTGTTCTTCCTTTAGACATGAGTCCATTGAGCTGATGTTACCTAAAAATTTAAATAGATCCTCCTGATTCCTAGTGGTCTCTCCTGTCTCTTTTATCCCACAAAAGAACTAGGCCTCATGAAACTCCTTGGTCTTTTGTGCCGTTGATTAAAAAATTCAGTCAAGACACATAGGTAGCCATGAAGAAACACAGATAGGATTTATTGTAAAGTAGACAGAGAGTCACAATTGTAAAATGTCCTCCTGTCCTTTTCAGATGGTCAGTGTTCCCTCAGGGGCCTTAATCACGTTAGAAACTTAGGAAAGACATTTCTGAAAGATAAGTTCTTTTTTTTTTTTTTTCCTCATTAAGTTTATCAGTACATTTTAGGTATACAATACAGTTACATGCCTCATTGGGATCTTGTTTTTTTTGTTTGTTTGTTTTGTTTTTGTTTTTTGAGACAGGGTCTCACTATGTAGTTGAGACTGACCTGGAATTCACTATGTAGCCCAGGCTGGTCTTGAACCCACACCAATCCTCCTGCCTCAGCCTCCTGAGTGCTGGGATTACGGGCGTGCACCACCATGCCCAGCTGGGATCTTGTACCTTTACATGGTGTATCTTGGCTCTTATTTTTTTCCCCATGAAAGATAAATTCTTCATTTGAACAAGGGCTCAGCCCAAGGTATAAGGGTCTTTAATGAAATTTCCTTTTGTGATATCATTGGGCCATCAGGCATGGCAACCAGAAATGCTGACTACCATGTTCTAGAACTAGAGGCCCCATATCTTTGGGTCTGAGACCTAATATATGATGATAAATATATTATCTATTGTGATCTTTGTTTCCTCACTTATCCACAACTAGCAAATCATGGTGGTTTGGAGCTCCCTTTGGCCCTCGGGCCCCCCCAATGCCTAAGCACCTCCCTAACACTTGGCACATAAGGGACATCTATTAAATGTGTTGAATAAATGGACGAACTTCAAATGCTCTCCATTTCACAGGATGAAAAGCATAGTGGTCATGAGCCTACAGCTATGGCCCTGGATGGACCTGGCCTTGAAGTCCAAAGGTCACTTCCAAGCTGTTATGTGGAGCTACACAGTTGCGTACTTAGCCCAAAAGTTGGCAGATTTTTTTCATAAAGGGCTCAGACCATAGATATTTTAACTTTATGGGTCAATCAGTCTCTCGCCTGGGTGTTAAACTGTCTTGTTTGCAAAAATAGCCAGAGATAATATCTAAAACAGAGAGTTCCTAAACCAGTAAGACTGGCTGTGTTCTCCTAAGCTTTTATTTATACAAACAGGCAGCAGTACAGTTGCATGTGGCGGCACGCATCTATGATCCCAGCACTCAAGAGGCTGAGGCAGGAGGAGCGGAGCACCATGAGTTTGAGGCCAGCCTGGGCTACAAAGTAGGTTCAAGGCCAGCCTGAACTATATAGCAAGACCTTGCCTCAAAAATAAAAACAAACAGTGGTGGCTCATGCCTGTAATCCCAGCACTCGGGAGGCTGAGGCAGGAGGATCGCTGTGAGTTCAAGACCAGCCTGGGCTACATGGTGAGTTCCAGGTCAGTCTCAACTACATAGTGAGACCCTGTCTCAAAACAAACAAACAAAAAATAAAAACTAACAAAAACCCCAAGAAAAAGGCAGCAGGTCTAAAGCAGCATGCTGACCTAGGTCTCAGTGTAAAAAGAGATCAAAGGAAACAACCCAGGGATGGAGCCTTGTGAGCCTTGGATCTTGGCTTGATACCCTTGGACAAGATTGCACCATTTCATCCCTACAAGTCCATTCAGTTCAATGCTCGGAGTGGTTCCACATGACATTGCGTGTACAGAATTCTATTTTTCTCTCCAGTTCACTGTGAGGTAATACTAACACTAATATCATTATTTATGGGTTAAGAGTGAGGGATTCAGGAACCAGACTGCCTATGTCCTAGTTCTGGCTCTGGCACTGAAGGCACTTAAAACATACTGCAACTTTGGAAAAATTAACTTCTCTCTGACTTCTGTAAGATCCCCCAGTTACCCTCTCTGTAAAGCTGGGATGACAGTAACTATGTCCACCTCTTATAGGGTTGTGATGAGAATTAAATGGATCTGCACCCCCGAATCATCCGCAGATCCTCAAACCCAGATGCAGGCTATTGTGGCTTTCCTTGTGGTAGCCCGCTTGGTTTCCTCCAGGGTGATCTTTTAGCTTGCTTTTTCCTCCTTTACTCGGCCTAAACTCGCTCTGCAGAGCCGGTTTCTCCATCACTCTTCACTTTTACTTTTTCAAATAAATTTGGCCAGTGCTTAAAAACAAACACCCCACCCACAAGCCAGATGCATACCCAGTACAATCACAACAATCTCCATGAATTACAGGAGCAGTAATGTTCTTGAAGTTTCCCTGGGTGAGTACAATGCAAAGTCAAGTTCGGAAACCAGTGGGTTAGAGGGTCCCTTGGGTAGAACCCTCCTGGAACTATCACCCCTCCCAGGCCCGGGTCCGCTGACCGTAGGTGATTGCAAACCACCTCTCCAGACTCCCCTCGCCACTAGGCCGCGAAGCCCCGCCCGTAAATACTGGTACTTGTAGTCCCTGTGACTGACTGGCCTCTTTCTCTCTTCCTATTGGTTTTCGCAGACATCCATCCTACAGCTCCACCAATCACCGGGGCACAGTAGGTTCTAAACGCCAGGAGCGGCTGCTCCCGGGCTCAATCACTGCCGGGCTGACGTCTGTTGTTGTCTGGTCTGAGGCTGCGCGGCTCCAAGAATTCCCACGGTGCTGCTGTCTCCGCCGCCGCCGTCTCCGCCGCGGTGATCGCCGCAGGTAACCGCGGGCCCCAGCTCCACAGAGAGAGGCATGCCGATAGGCACGCTTCAGGCCGGGGCCGCTGGTCAGCCGCAGTTCCTGGCCTCAAGCCTTGGGTTTTCACTTTCCCGAAACCTTTTCTGAGTAATGTGTCACCCGGGTCTGGAGACTTGACTCCGGAGGAAAACCCTGCGGACCTCGGCGCCCTGTCTTGCTAGGGTGATTGTGGAGGAGGAGGTGGGCTCTGTTTTTTTTCTTTTTTTTGCGTCTGCTTTGGCTGAAATGTTGTGTTGCTCCGGAGGGGAAACTGAGGCTCTAGAGGAGGCTGATCAGTCGAGGCCCACAGCTAGGGTGTGTCCGGGAGAGTTTGGGGCTTGATTCGGATCTTTATACAGCCTAGGAGTTCAGGCTGTTGATACTTTTAATGTGGAGGGTGAAACCCATGAGGAAGAATTGTTAACGCTGACAACAAAAATACCCAAAATATTCCTTCTGAGAAGTCAGGCAAGTGTGGTTTTGAGAGTTGACCTGGTGTGAGTTTCAGGGCGACCCACATCAACTGGGAAAGTGTAAGTTAACCGGCAGTGATCTCTTGTCCCTGTAACATTTAAGATTATTCTGTCAAGCACTCTGGCATCTGGAGGCTGGAAGAAGGAACTCCCTGTCGCGTGCTTTGTGCCCCGGATTTGAGACTCCACCTGGGGTCTGCAGGAAGTGGAATAGCCCAGCTTTCTGTAACTTTACGCAGCAGACCTGGAGCTTTACCAAGCTTTTTGAGTTGGGATTACTTTTGCGAAGGGGAACGGCAGATTCTAGCAAACAATTCCAGTATTACAGGGCAGGAGTACAGGTGTGTACAGGGATGGCTTCCAGCCCGGACTTGTGGGAAGATATAGGAACTCACAGAACAGGGGATGCTTGGGTTAAATTGGAGGGATGGCAGGAGCTAGTGGATGAGAAAGAAAGAGCAGTTCACCTGGAAAACAGCTTCGTGAAGGCAGGGAAAGGATAATGCTTTGGAACCTGGAATTGAGCCACATCCGAGTAAGGATTTTCATGTGGGTGGTGAATTCTGTGAGCCATGAGCATAGAGAGGTACATCTTGAACTGTCCTGTGCTGCTGTGAGAGATCAGGAAGCTGCTTTTAGTGTAGATCTGTATCATAAATACCCCGTGGGGTAGAAAAGTGTTGGAGAGAGACCGTAGTCAAGATGATAGCAATAATTCCCAGGAGAAATTCCAAGTTTCTTGTTTTTGTTTTTTGGTACTGGGGATTGAACTCAGAACCTTGCACTGGTGAGGCAGGCACGGTGCCATTGAGCTAAGCATCCGGCCTGAAATTCCAAGTTTTAAAGACCGTGAAGTGGAAAGTAGATTTTGAGCTGTTAAGAAAGTAGAAAATGTAGTATCCAGTACCATTCAGGAAGAAAAAAAATACAGCTAGGCATTGCTTAATGTTGGTGATGTGTTGTGAGAAATGTATTATTAGGCCATTTCATTGCTGTGGAATCATGGAGTGTGTTTACATGAACCAATATGGTTTAGGTTACTGGACATGGCTCTTCAGGCAACCAAAAGATGAGTTGCACAGGAGATGCCTGAGGCTGCTGCTGGCATAACAGAGTCTACTGTTTTACAGTAATCTTTTTTTTGTATAGAACTAGGAGTTCTTTCTAAAATATAATGGAAAATGCAGTATAGTACGTGGTTTATGTATCACACTAAATTGTACATACTATACTTTTATGCAACTGGCAGTGTTTGTAACTAGTAAGTTTGTATCAGCATTACTACACACTCAGGAGTAAAGCATTATAACACTGTCTTTTCTTTTTGCAGTGCTGGGGAAAGAACCCATCACTTGTACATTATAGGTGAGTGTTGTACCACTGAGTTGCACCCCCAGCCCGAAGTTATGCTATATATGACATTATAATGGGCACGATATCAGTGACAATTGGCATTTTCAGCTCTGTTACAATTTTTTTTTTGTTTTGTTTTTTTTGAGACAGGGTCTCACTATGTAGTTGAGACTGACCTGGAACTCACTATGTAGCCCAGGCTGGTCTCGAACTCACAGTGATCCTCCTGCCTCGGCCTCCCGAGTGCTGGGATTACAAGCGTGCGCCACCATACCCGGCTACTCCATTATAATCTTATGGGACTGCTGGTATATGTGTGGTACCTTGTTGACCAGAAAACATCATTATGCAGTACACAGGTATATATTGAAGTGAATCTCTGTCTTGAGTTTTCCTGTGTATGACTATCTTTTGAAGAAATGCCTAGTGGGCTGGGGATTTAGCTCACTGGCACCACACCTACCTCACAAGTGCAAGGTCCCAAGTTCGATCCCCAGTACCCCCGCCAAAAAAAAGAAATGCCTAGTATTTTTTTGTTAACTATGGAAGTTGCTTAATAGAACATAATTTGAATCCCAAATGATTCAGGGGAGGTTCTGAATATGTATTGAGGGTATTGAAATGTGAATGATTGAATAAACATATAACTCAGATTTTCTTGTCATCCAGGAAGTGCAAATTAAAACCATGATTTAGAACCACTATAAACCACCTTTTATGTATCAGATTAGAAATTGTAAAGTTTGATTCTGTCAAGAGATGATAGGTATGAAGGAAATGAGGGATACAGGTGTATCTTAGGATAGTACAGCCACTAGCAAAATGTTATTTATTTTAAGACACTGCGGTTCCACTCGTAGAAAACACCCTTGGCATTTGTATACAAAGAGCAATGTTAAGATGTTTATTATACCATTGTTAATAGTAGTTTAAAAAACTGGAAACAGCCTAAAAGTTCATCGACATGGGAATGTATATAGAGTCGATATAGATCTTTTTAACATGAGTGAAGAATCAACAGGAAAGATGCTTATTTAGGATAGTCTTTACCTTGCAGAGTGTGGGGATGGGGTTACATGGAAGGAAAATTTCACCTGTAATGTTTTATGTGGTAAAAAGACGTAACAAATTTACAAAATACTAACAGCTGATGGGCTGATTCTCTAGATAATAGGTAGTGGTTGTTTTATGTTATTTTTGTGTCTTTGTATAGTTTAATGTCTACTAAATTTCTTCAAATAAAAATTGTCCTTTAGGGCCAGAGTGGTGTCATGCCTGCTTCATAAGCGCAAGGACTTGAGTTCAATCCTGGGTACTGGGGGAAAAAAAAAATCATCCTTTGAAGTAAAAATTTAACCTAAAAATTAGCAGGTAGATATGAAAATTATGTTAAGTTGTTTTGGAAAAAGACCACAAACTGTGTTGGTACCAGGTTTCAAAAGCAGTAATAGGAGTAAAAGAAAATTTGTATGACAAATAAACATTGAAAATAAAATGTAGAGAAGCTATTAACTATTGGCCAGAATTGCTAGATACCTAAAACCTCCTAACCATTTTAGTAAATTTGAATAAATATCTTTTGTGTATTTTTTTTTGAGGTAGAATAGAAGAAATCAAGGGGTAGAAAGGAGACCAATACATTTTTATTTTAAAGTTATAATTTTGACTAAGTGTGGAGGTGCACCCCTGTAAGCTCAGCACTTGGGAGGCTGAGGCAGGATTGCCAGCCTGGGCTACAATGTAGTGAGTTCAAGGCCAGCCTGAACTACATAGCAAGGCCCTGTCTCAAAAAAGCCAAAAAAATTGTAGTTTTGACTAACTTCATCTTTAAAACATAATCAGAGTTATACATCCCCCCCCCATCCAGGCTTCTGGCTCCTAAATTCCTGAGTCGTTTTTTTTTTTTTTTTTTTTTTTTTTTGGTACCAGGGATTGAATTTGGGACCTTGCGCTTGCAAGGCAGGTGGTGGAACCACTGAGCCAAATCCCCAGCTTCTAAGAGTTTTAAAGATACAATAAATCATAAATTCAGCCTGTGTATTTCTTTGGATACTATAAATCCTTATATTTCAAAGACTTCCACTGTCAAAGAAATAGCACTATTGGGTACCAAGCCTATCTCCAATCCAACACATATGAATGATTTGCATTTTAACTTAATTGATATGGCCAGTTTTTCTATCACTTAAGGAGACAGACTCTAGGTAAATTAATGATAAGTAATTCAAAACAACCAGTGTCCCAGGTCATCTGTCTGAGGCTACCCAGACCACAGTGCATCTCGCCCTTGAGCAGCCGATGCTTTGCTCACTGTGTAGTTGGATTCTGTGTAATCTTTCTGTGCCTCTTCTGTATGCATCCTGAAACGCTTTTCTGAAGAGTCATTAACCTACCCAGGGCAGGTCGAGGTCCCATCTCTTCCGTAGGTGGACTGTCCCAGGCCCTGCCTGGTGACATTTTGAAATATCACAGTTGCTTGTACTTTCTGTCATGTTAGAAGCTAACTTATTGATTGTTCTGTTTTGTGTTTTCGGTCCTGGGATAGAACCGGAGACCTTGCGCTTACGAGGCAGGCGGCGGCACCATTGAGCTGAATCCCCGGTCCAATATAATTTATTGTTATGGTTTGTGTTCAGATGTCGCCCCAAAGCCTCATGCAGAAGAGCTGGCACTTTCTTTTTCAGAGATAGTTGAATCTGGAATGTGTGATGCTGGGGTTAAAGGCCCATGATTCCTAAACCACTAGGGCGCGAGCGATTAGTTCGGCACCGCCCTAACCGCGGTAATCTGAATAAGATCAAAGGGGCAGAAAGATGCTGGTAACTCTTGTTACCTTTGCTGTCTTTCGGGGCGCTGTTGTTCTCCTCTGCGACGCCTGTCTGTCACCTCTCCTTGGAGCTGGCCCTATTATGGACGGCATGTAAGCCAAATAAACCTCTTCCCCTCCAACTTGGGCTCTTGGGTGTCTTGTCTTAGCAAGGAGGGAGATGGGTAACACATTTATAAAGTCATCAATCTGCACAGATTAAAAAATATGTTAAGGATCCTATTTATTAGTAAGGAAGCAGGGTGAGGTGTTACAAAGAAATGGAGCCAAAGAAAAGTCACACGTGCAGATATAGAAGTATTGAAGTCAGTGTACAAGGAGGAGGCAAAACTGGGCTTCGGGAGGAGTTCAGTTAGTGGAAATAATTTACATGTCTATAGAGAAGAATTATTTGCATTGTTATTCATAGTATGCTGACCCTTTTCACCTTTGACAGACTCAGGAGGTCTAAGAGGGTTAGCTAATGGAGAATCTAGTTTACCACCTAAACACGGATTTTCCCTGTAGAAAACAACTAACCTGAATAAAGTACATTTTTTCATTTGAAATACTGTTTGGTTGGGCTTTGTTTTAATCCTGTTTTTTAACCAGAAAAAAATCAAAGGCTTTGAAACTCCCATAGGGCTAGGATTACATTAGGGCTCTGAGCGACTGAAAGAGAAATTCCACTTGATACGTTATTCAAAAACATCAAGACAAATTTTCTTCTGGCTACTGTGGTAAGAAAGAGAGACCCAAAGCACAGGGTCTGCCAAGGGGTTGAGCACCCACAGGCAAGATGAGGGGCCAGTGGTATTCCTTCAGCTTAAAATATTCAGTATGCTAAGGTGCCGCACTTTGGGGTAGCATGTCCTGGACCCTGTGGATAGAAAATTACCAAGAGGAACTTAACTAGATATCAGGGGTGTAGGGATTCTTGTAGCATTCTTGTAAAATTGGGCTGAGCAGGCTAAGGCTCTGTGGGGAAAAGGGGCTCAGAGGAGCCTGACCAAAGTTAAGGAGTTAGTCCTTGTCACCTGTCCTGCAGGTCCTCAGCCAAAGGCCGCGTGAACGATGCTGTTCTTTTAACCCCCTAGATGAAGGCTTCCAGTTCAAAGGCTCCTTCTGGATGTTCTTGTCCGGCCACCGCTTTGCCTGGCTTTGATAGTCCACTGTGCCTAACCCAGAGCCAGTATAATATGGGGCTGGCAGTAAGGAGTCATGTTTGGTGGTGGCTGAGGTGTTGTTTCTGGAGGTTAAGGTCTGTCTTGCTCCGCGGAAACCTGGGAGACAGAATTTTTGGTGGAAAGAAGAGGTTTATTCAAATCTCTTATTTACCTGCTCAGCTGTGCAAAGAGTTTTCATTGTGAGTAAGGGGGGGGGTGTGTGGTGAGATAGGACAAGAGGTCTTTTATTCAGAGAGCCTGTTGGTGCCTTAACATAGTCAAGTGCGAAGACGACTCAAGTGTCCTACTGCCTGGGAAGCAGTAAGACTTGGCTGCCCGCTGGCCCAGGCTGGAGTCATGCAGTGCCTGTATTTATGGGCGCACCAGACTTTCCTATCAGCAACGCTTACTGTGATGAACAGGTGGCACAGTGGAACAAGCGGTCTTTATAGGCAGGTCTGTGCATTGGTCCTGTCATACAGTAGGGTGCTAGAGGAATTCCCCTAAAGAGGGGGCTGGTTAGAGTCAGGAGCTGGGGATATTTATGTGTTTTGGGGTGGAAATCTATGATATTTGTGAATCTATAGGAAGTTCAAGCAGCTCAATTTAAAGGGGAAGGGCCAACTCCAGTCTATTGTGTTTTTAAGGATACGTGATCTATTTTCCCTAAAAACATTCTTTGAAACTTTTGAATCTGTTTCTCTATCTTAGGGTCAGGTCTCACCCTTTACCTTATCAACTAATCTAACTATGCCTGTAAAGAATTTAGGGTATAATGGGCCTGGAAAGAAAATACAAACAAGTGTAGGAAGCCGGAACAAGCTTTAGGGGGAAAGATGTGGAGGAAACCAGATATGGACAACCTTGGGTAACTGTCCTGAAGTCGCAGCCTTCCTAAAAGTGCAGTTTTAAAATTACGACTTTCCTTGTCTCCTCTGTACCTACCTTCATTTCTCCTGTTTTACATCAGTCCCAGCAGTACCACTTACTAGCAAGTTTCTCCACCTCTCTGAGCCTCAGCGCTCTCCCCTGTCTGTGAAGGGCCTGATACTTGCTCTCAGGGATGCAAAGATGCTGTAAATAAAGCTGTCACGTTGCCTGGCAACACATCTATGCCTGCAGATACTCCACTCCCCTAACCATGCAACATATTACATCCCTCCGGGGAGCCTTTCTCTTCTGTCCTCCCCGTGTGCTATCTTCTCCTTGTAGGCCAACACTGCCATGGACTTCTTTCCACTCTTGGCACTGTAACTTCTGCCTGACTTAGTTTTGTTTTAGTGCTAGAGATTGAGCCAAGGGCCTTGCATATCTTAGGCACATGCTCTCCCAGGGAGCCACATCCCCAGCCCCCTGCCTTAACTAAAAAACAAAAAACAAAACCAAAAACAAAAAAACAACTGAGCGCACAGCATCTCACTAAAAGGAGAAACCTCAGAATCACAGCTGATTTAGCTTTATCACCACCTTAAAGTCTTTCCCCTTTAAAAACTGTACTCCCACTTTGACACCCCCCTCTCCTGCCTCATTTTTCTCTATAGCTCTTAGCACCATCTGACAGCTGCGTAGTTCCGCCTTCAGTCTCTTCAAGAAACATCAGCTGGTTTGCTTTGCTGTCCAATGACCGTAAGGAGCTAGGAGAGTAGGTGCAGAAGGGGTAGATAATGGGATGAGTTTAGTTTTTTTGTTGGGGTGGTACTGGGGATGGAACTCAGGCCCTTATGCTTGTGAGGAATGCGCTGTACCCACTGAGCTAAGTCCCCAGCAACAGCGTGAGTTTAAATAGATGACAAGCCGATGTCACTGGACGCTGGAGGGCCCAAATAGAAATAGTCTCAGGAGCTAGTGTAGGAAGAATCATTAACTTTTTCATCAGATTTTCACTTTGATAAAACAAGAATAATGGAATGTTACAAGATTATTTGTGCCATTAATGCATTGACTTTGTTGGGAATGATGCATTCTTCAGGAAATTACTGTCTAAAGCAGGCTGCTTTGAGACACTGGTTGCTGGGGTAATGGAATGATTACAAGAAACAATAAAAAACTACAATGTGTTTAATTTTTAATTGAGTCGGTGAAAGATACACTGCTGTTAATCCCCTTCAAAATACCTCTTCCTCTTGGACACTTATCCCAGGATTCTTGCCACTTTCTGAAGCAGCTCTTACAGTCCTTTTGTGAACCGGAAGCCAGGTCCTGATGCTTTGAGGGTTTCTTGTGCTTTTGATGAAAGAATTTAGTCGAGACACATAGGCAGCCATGCAGAAGTCTGGGTAGAATTCACTGTGAAGTAGCTACAGAGAGTCACACATTCAAGTAGGAAAGGCGGGCAGTGCCACGAGGGCATCTGCCCTGACTGGGAGTCTGGGTATTTTTTCATGCACATAAGAGTTACCTCTGGGAGCTGGGTGTGGTGGTGCACGCCTGTAACCCCAGCACTTGGGAGGCAGAAGCAGGAGGATCACTGTGAGTTCAAGGCCAGCCTGGGCTATGTAGTGAGTTCAGGGCCTGCGTGATTTATAAAAGCCAAAAAAAAAACCAAACCAAACCAAAACAAAACAAACCAAAAAACAAAAACAAAAGTTACCCTTGGGATTCAGGGAACTAGGGAAATTCCGATGCTTATTGACATTTTTCTTAACCTTTACTTTGAAATTGAAAAATGTCTTCTTATCCTTTTCAGATGGTCAGTGTCTTCTAGGGCATTAGTCATGTAAGAAACTTAGGAAAGGCATTTACAAAAGAAGTGCTTGAATTAAACCAGGTCCCAGGCCAAGGCAACGCAGGGTCGTTGAAGACGTTTCTTTACTTGGTTTTGCTGGGCCATTGGCCATGGCAACTAGAAATGCTGTTTGCATGTTCTAGATATAGAGGCCCTGTGTCTAATATATGATTATAAACGTGTTATTTATGGAAGCCTTGTCTTTGTTTGAACTCCCCTTTTGTCCCTGGGGCCCCCTAATGTCTGCTTGCCTGGTACTTTTTCTTGTGTGTCTTTTTAGTTGTGCTGTCATGGCTGCTTTGATGTCCTGAATCAATTCAAAATGTTTAACTTTTATAGTAATTTGTCCGTGCCATATTTGATGGATAAGATGGGTGGGGATACACATACTGTTTTTATCAGGCTGCCTTTCCCCTGGACGGCACTCAGCATCAGCTTTCACTGTATTTTTTGTCATATCCTGTAAAGAGGACTTCTCGAACTGCTTCAGAAAGTGGCAGGAATGATGGGTTCAAGTGTGTTCAAAGCAAGGGGAATATTTTGAAGTTCATTAAGGGCACTGTGTCTTTACTGTAATAAATTGTTTAATTTACACACCCATTATAGTTTTTGATCACCCCTCTTATGTCATGTTCATGTCTCATTTCCACCCAGGTCCCTGAGACAGTATTAGTGTGTGTGTTTTCTCAGTGACATTTTCTGTTCGGTGACACACCATGCAGCTTTTAACCTGGTGTTGTGTTCCAGGAAGCACAACTCTGTGTTTATGAGAAAGAAGAATGACTGGGGGAAAGCACCAAATGAGAACTGTGAAAGTATCATTTGGGTATGGGGTTATTCCTATCACTAGGAGTAACTTTGTAGGATATTCAAAGGATGAAAGATGAAACTGTCTTGGTGTCTGCTGCAGTGTTGTTCCTTCAGGCAGTTAAGCTGGTGGTGTTCGCTCTGCTGAGTTAGGTTGACCTTTGATCACCTGTAGTTGTCCTCTGTATCCTTACAGATGGATGCCCCTGCTCCGTATGTAAAATGCCGTAGTATTTGCATAAAGCCAGCACACACCCTACCATATACTTTAACTCATCCCTAGATTACTTATAATACCTAGTACAAGGTAAATAAATACGTGTAAGAATTTGTTCTGCAGAACATGCAGTTTTCCCCCCGTAGTTTCTTCAGTTTGAGGTAGGTTGAATCCACCGATGTGGACCCCTTGGATATGGAGGGCTGGCCATATTTTATCTACTCTTTTTTTCTCTAAGTAGAGAGGGGAAATCACACACCAGCATCTCCCGAGGACTGAGCCTCTTTGAGCCAAACTCAACAAATACTCATATACAAATTTGGGGGCCCGCTTGACAGTTCTTTTAAAGGGGTCTCAGCTTTGTTGCCCAGGCTGGCCTTGACCTTGCAGTCCTTCTGCCTCAGTCCTCCGGGTAGCTGGGATCACAGACTTGCACTGCTGCGCTCCGCTTCATGATTTTGGTGAATGATTACCGTCGCTAGCTGTCCCTGTGGCATGGGCTGGGGCCACATTCCTGCTTCCCAGGGCAAGGTCAGCAAACTGTGGCCATGGGCCAAACATACTGCCTGTGTTTGTGAGTTCTGAGGCATAGTCACAGTCATTCCTTTACGTGCTGTCTCTGGCTACTTTTTTGGGGTGGTATCAAGGATCAATCTCAGGACTTTGTGCTTGTGAGGCAGGCATGGTGCCACTGAGCCAAATCCCTGGCCTGTGGCTACTTCTGAGATACAGAGACAGCCTGGCCTTCAGAGCCACAAATACTTGGCTGTCAAGCCTTTTACAGAAACATTTTTACCAAGCCCTACTTTGGGGAAGGCTTTTGGGGAGGCCTAAATGCAGCCAGGAGGCTGCCGGCTGAGCTCAGAATCAGAAAGGCTACAGAATGTGTTGGCCAGGATGCCAGGCTTAGGGCCAAGGTGGACAAGAGCCTGTGGGGTCAACACAGAGATATCTGCGCCAATGTGCAGTCTGAGAAGGGCAGCATCCATGTCACCGGGAACTTACAAGAAATACAGTCTTGGCCGAGGATTTAACTTAGTGGTGACGCCGCCTGCCTCACAAGCGCAAGGACCCGAGGTTGATCCCTGGTACAAAAAAATGAAATGCAGTCTTAGGCCCACTCCTGGGCCTGCAAGATCCGAATCTTCATCCTAGCCAGATCCTCAGAGAAGCTGGGTGTGCTTTTGAGAAGCCCTGGTCCAAGGTGCTCTTAGTTCTTTAAGGGCTTCCTGAGAGACCATTGTCCTTACTGCACTATTTGGAGTGCTAGGCAGTGGTTACTTCAGCTCAGGGGTGATCATACTTAGCTGGCTGCATGCTTTGTGAGGGCAGAGGCTTTGTGCTTTCCCTGTTACTGAGTTTCCAGCACCTTACACATTATCTGGCAGGGCAGGTGGTCAGGAGACCTTGGCCGCTTGGTAATGAATGCCTGGGTGAACACATGCCACCTGCTTGCCTCGTGGCACTGGGGGCAAAGGTCTCAAAGACTATTGGCCTCAGGGGTTGGGGATTTAGCTGCTGTGCCTGTTTTGCAAGCTCAGAGTCCTGAGTTTGATCTCCGGTACTGGCCAAAAGAAAAAGAAGACTGTTGACCTCTCATCACAGAGCCACAGGCCTGGCTGTGTTTTTTTGTCACTAGAAGGAGTTGTTTTAGTCGGCACACAGAGGAGGCTCCGCTCTTGTATGATGCAGGGTGTCTAGCTCAGCCTCATTCCTTTACAAGCGTTCATTTAAAGTTACCATTGACCGGGCTTTGTTTCACGGAGCCTTTGGTCAGTGAAAACACAATCCCTCTTTGTCTCCGGTTTTCCTAAGCACACTTCATCCTGTGTTTTGGGTACATTTATTGTGACGGTTACTTGGCGGCCATAGTGTTCACCTGTCACTAGGCCTGTGTGTTTCTTTTTTTAATCGTGCTGTGTGCTTCTTAGGTTTTTTGCAGTTGGATCTACGGAGCAGAATGCTGTGGAAAGTAGCTGCATTACTCAGCCTGGTCCTGGGCATTGGCGCCCTTCCCACCAGTGTGGATGATGACCCTGAGGATGGTGGCAAGCACTGGGTGGTGATTGTCGCAGGCTCCAATGGCTGGTACAATTACAGGCACCAGGTAAGACAATGGCCTTTCCTTTGTGACACTGGCATCTGTTGACAGTCCTGGATGTTGTCAGGATAGCCATTTTGAGACAGTTTGGCAGTTCTTCTGAAGTTTCTCTGAGGTCACCTTAGTCTAATGCAAGGTTTCTCAATTTGGGCACTCTTGACACTCGGGCCAGGTGACTCTGTTGCTGGGGCCATTGAGCACCATGGGATGTCTAGCACTGTCCTCTGTGTCTGCCCCTAGGTCCCAGGGGCATTGCCCGCCCATCGGTAATGACCCAAAATGCCTCCAGACATTGCCAAATGTGCTGGGGGCAATAACCACTCAGGTTGAGACCCACTGGTCTAACATCTTCATCTTTCAGATAAGGAAAGGAGGCCTACAGAGAGGAGGAGACTTGCCCAAGGCCATAGAGTAAACAGAGGCAGACAGGACTGAAGCCCTAGGCTCTGGCATTTGCACCCCAGACCCTTCTGCCCTCCACAACATGGCCAGGCTCCTCTCCTCACCCTTGTGTCCCCATTTATGTGCTTGAGGCCTGCCAGACTAGCCCCCACTCCTGGGAGTATACCCAAGAGAAGTGAAAACACGTCCACGCAAAAGCTTGTGTGTGTCCCAGTGTGGTGGCACACGCCTGTAATCCCAGCACTCAGGAGGCTGAGGCAGGCGAATCACTATTAGTTCGAGGCTTGCCTGGGCTACATAGTGAGTTCAAGGCCAGACTGAAGTACAGAGCAACTGCTCGTAGCAGCCATACTCTTAGTGGCCAAGGTGGGAAATAAGGAATTGTGCCCTACAGCGGGGCTGTGTGTGGTAGGTCCAATTCTCAGTCCCTCTTTACAAATGACTGGGTGGACAGTGGGTCCGGGAAAGTTTTTTATTAGCTGCATTTTAAAAACTAAATTCAGCACAGGCTGAATTAATATCTAACTTTAACAAAAATGTCCAAGCTACTATAATTTCAATGTATAATCAATACAATGATTACTAATGAGATAACTTGTATTCTTATTTGGTGTGAGCGAAATCATTGGAATCCAGTGAGTGTTGTGCTCCTGCTGTATCTCATTTTGGACTGGCTGCGTTTCCAGTGCATGGTTGCCACACATGGCCAGTGGTACTGTGTTAGACGGCACAGGGACAACCTGTGTCCCTGGCCACCTCCTGGTGTTGCCCATCACCTTAGAACTGGGGCAGGTACATTTTCCCACAGGGTGTTATTTTTATATCTGTTTCACATCTGTTAAATAGAGAGGGGGCTGGTTAGCTGAAGTTATGACTCATTTCTTGAGTGGTTTGTGTGTGTTAGCCAAACAGGAAATTTAGCTTGATTAAAAAGTTGTTATCATGACAAAATGATCCCTGTCCTTTTAATACTTAACCACCACTGAAAGAGGAGCCATCAGAGTCTCTGGCTGTTCAGCTCAGTCTTCCTCTCCCTCTCTAACCACTAGTTACATAAGTTGTAGTCTCATGAACACACTGATTCTTTGGTCGTCATGGTTTTTATTCAATCTACTTTAAAATAACATATCAGTTGAACACCATTAAGTAGGACTTATCCAATTATCCTGGCTCTCAGAAACCTTTTTTTTAAGTGTTACCAGTTTATTGAATGAGAAAGAAGGGAAGCAGGGCAAAAATAGTGGCCACAGACCAAAATCTTTGTCCCCAAATAGGAGTGGATGGTGGTATTGAGGCCGTGTGGAGGTGGACAGTGTGCTGAATTATCCTGTCCTCAGGCCAGGTTCCTGCTGGCCCATGTCTGTTCACAGCCAGCCATCAACATGTGCCTCCTCCACATTGGAGATTACACCCAAAGGACATTTGAGAGAACTTTCCACATAAGACCTGATGTGTTGGTGGAGGTTTCCATCTTCCTTGGATTAATCCGAGACCCACTACCAACAGTCTCTTTTTCAGGAGCGTTAACGTGCTGGGCACCATCACGGTCATTGCCAAGTACTTTGCTCTGCTGTGTGGTGGTTATTTCAGGTTTGTTTTATCTTGACCAAGTTAGAATTTTGTTTTCCACTTTGATAGCAGAGCGGGCTAGCCTCAGCTGTGCCAGTGGGACATTCTGCTGCTAGGTACCTAAGGGCAGGGTCCAGGGTGAGTGGTCCATGCCGTCTGCGGGTGGCCTGGAAGGTGGGAAGCCTGCGGAGCACTCCTGGAGCGGGGCTGTGGCTGGGGCTGGGACTGGGGGCAGACCTGGAGAGGGTCTAGTGCCTGGCTAGGGCCAGGGAGAAGGAACAGGCTCTGGGGAGGTGAGGTGTGACCCCAGAATGTACTAAGAGGAGCTGAGCAGCTGGAAGTGGCCCAGGAGCAGAACGAGGAGGAAGTGTCTTCCCTCGTGCCCTGGATGAACTGCTGACAATGCAGGGAACCCCTGCTGACGTCCTGCTGCCTCTCACCGAGCACGTGGTGTGTGGGAAGGCTTGGAGCACGGAAGGCTTCGTGGAGGACAGGCTTGCACGGAGGGGTTTGCAACCTCTGCAGGAGCACCTAAAGGGAGAAGCATGGGCTGGGAGCAGCAGCACAAAGCTACAGTGAAGGAGTGGCCAGCATGGCAGGGCGCCTTCAAGTGCCCACGACTACAGAAGTCCTCAGAGGCTTGAAAGCCAAGGAATGTGGTGACTTCCAGTTGCCCAGTTAAACCCCATTGTCTCAAACTGAGGTCCTTCCCAGTTTTCCACCCTCCCATCGTTATATGGATGATGTTTCTTCAGATAAGCCTTCCTCATGTGGATGATGTGTCTTCACATAAGCCTTCCTCAGGTCGTGAGACGAGACTGTTGCAGCAGCTCACGTGTCACATCCTAACAAAACCCTACGGAGGCCAGCTGTACCTTTACTCTCTGGTTCTCAATCACCGTATAAATCTTTTTCAGGACTTTGCCCCATGTCTGCCAGGCCAGATTTGCACCCCATGTCGCCACTGTTGAATCATTTTCTGGTAAGGGAAGAGAGGTTTCTGGCTCCCACTCAAGGAAGCTCCTGACTCTGACAGAAAGGAAGAAGGTAACCAGAGGGCATGCAAGCACAGCGAGTGGTCCCATTAGCAGGGACCCAGGCCTGAGGAAAAGGCAGGCTGGAAAGTTTGAGTGAAGGAACAGTGAGATGTGCTAGGGCCAGCTAACAGGACAGAACCGAGTGGCTTAGAACTGAATAGAGAAGTTGTGCTGCCCCCAAGTCACCAAGGGCTCCAGCTCCATGCAGACCCCTGCCTGTCTCCACCTCCATACCCAGAGCCTCTTGCTGCCTAGGCAGGGTCTGCACGCTCTTCCCCAGAGGGCCAAGGAGGGCCAAAGCCATTGAGGCTCTGTGGGCCCAGGCCAGATGCAGGCTGGCAGACTGCTGAGGGAGGTGGGTGGAGGGCCAGGGAGTGGACGGGAGGCTTGCAGCTGAGCTGTGGGCGATAGAGAGGGCGTGGCTGGATGGCTGGATGGGGGTGCTGTGTCCAGCAGGGGCGCTGAGGACCCTTGAGGGGGCAGCACAGGGTGTGGAAAGAAGTGGCCTTGGACTCACAGGCCTTACGTGTCTTGCTGCCCTCCACCTACACGCTGTGTTAGGCTGGTGTGAACACCTGGGCTCTTCCTCTGCGGTGGGTGGGGGCTGGGCAAGGACCCGCAAAGCCCCAGCCCAGGGCTTGGGACCCTCGTGAGTGAGCAGCTGTGCAGGCCCAGCTGGGAAGGGCCCCTCCCCATGCCTGGAGCACACCGCCCCAGTACAGCTGGTCACTGTGGGCCGAGGACAGCGAGGGCAGCAGCCTGCATCCGGGAGTCATGAGAAGTTCGTGCCAGCTCCAAAAGCCGCTGAGTCACTGCAATCTCTGCCTTGCATTCCGGCCTTGGGCAATAACTCTGTCAGCATCCGCATGGCCTCACTTGGGTTTGGGTTTGGGTTTCTGCTTTTTTTTTTTTTTTCCTGTTTTGGTACCGGGATTGAATCTTGCTTTCTTTTTAGAACATCTCATGAATCTGCGTGTCACCCTTGCTCAGGGGCCATGGTAATCTTTGCTGTACAGCTCCGTTTTTTAGTAGACTCAGCAGCACGGACTCCCTGCTTCAAAGGGAAAAATGCACGTGGATGTGTGGTTGGCTGGGGCCACAGGAAGCGTCTTGGTGGCCTTTATAACGCCCTGGACCCTGCTTCCCTTACCTGCTTGACTCACACAAAGAAGCCCTGTGAGTGAAGGCTCAGTAGGGGCCTCTGAGTTCCCCCAAGGAACTCAGGAGAGGGCCCTGGAGAGAGCTGCAGGCTGACTTGGAGACCCAGTGTGTAAGGAAGGGGCACAGGTGTGTCAGGCGGATGCCTGGGTTTGTATCTTGCTGCCTGCTTTAAAATGGCGATAAAAACTCCTGCCTGTCCAGGCAGTGATGGGGTCCCCAGTGGTGCACGACTGTTGGGAAGGCACTGGCGTAGTGTACCATAGCACCCAGCTTGCTGTTCATCTTCTTAATGGTATCTTTGAAGCACTAACACATGCATAAGGCCTGATCCTCATTGCCTTAAAAAGAAAGAAGAAAAGAATGAGATCAGATTGCTTAGTTCCATGATAGCCCTTCTAGTGTACACAGCAAAATCAGCTGAGGACACATATCTCAGACCATATTAAACAACACCTGAGTTTATAGAAAATACTTAGTGACTATTTTACAATGGTCTCTTTTTAGACTTTCAGCCCCGCATTCCCTCCTGGGCCTCTGTAACTTGTGGGCCTCTGAAACCCTGTGATTTCTCTGTTGCCTCTTCCTTAAGCACTGTCAGTCTGGCGGTGGAATGTGAGCCACGTCACCTCCCTGCCCTGAGCTACCCTTTCCCATCCGTAAACTGGGGCGGAGCCCTTCACTCCTTAAGCTGCTGTGACCATCAATGAGATCACAGGAGGGAAGCTTAGCACAGGGCCGTAGGAGGGGAAGACAGCCAGGGGATGCATTTGCTTTCCTGGTGAGTCAGTCATCGGCCATCCAGAAGCTCTGGCCTTCCTGGCCCTGGACCTGCCCATTCCTCCTTCAGCCCCTGCCCACTGAGCATCTGCAGGAGAAGCCAGCTCAGTGCTGGCCCAGACTGCTGTTTGGAATGCGCTGTGGGGAGGCCGAGTCTTTCCCCGGCAGGCGGTGGCACGTCCTCCCATCACGCTTTCTCAGGTTTTGTTCCAGGACCGATGGAGTTAGCAATAAAGAGAAACTTACAGGCAGCATTTCCTGCTGTCCTCAAATGACCCACATCATGACCAGCAGTGTGGGTCATCTGAAATAAGGAAGTAGTGAGTCTTACCCTTGGGTGGGCAAGGAGATGTCTTAGGGAAGTTGTCTACTGCCCATAATGTTGTCTTCTTTGAGTTTTTCCTTTTAAACCGGACAGCACATTTCTCATTCCAGTTCCTGAGTTGAACTCTTTTTTTTTGGATACAGTGCCTCACTTTGTAGTACAGGCTGGGCTGGAACTTGCCATATAGTGCAGGGTGGTCTCAAACTCCAAATTCCAGCCCTCCTCCCTCAGCCTTCTGACTGCTGGATCATTTCATTCTCTTCTCTGAACAGTGACTACTTGGGACAGGAAAGAATCCTGTGTGACCTGCGAGATTAGCTGCTAAGCTTTTTTTTTTTTAATGATCTCTTACTAGTTATGTATTTGTACATTTATTTTTATTTTGAGACAAGGTCCTGGCCCAGGCTGGATCTTCCTTCTTCAGTCTCCCAAGTTCTGGGTTTACAGGTTTGTGTGCCCTCATGTCCAGCAGCTGCTGACCTTTTTGTTTGTTTGTTTATTTTTTGAGACATGGTCTCACTGTGTAGTTGAGGCTGGCTTTGAACTCACTGTGTGGCCCAGGCTGGCCTCAAACTCACAATAATCCTCTGGCCTCAGCCTCCCAAGGGCTGGGATTACAGGTGTGGGCCACCATGCCTGGCAACTGCTGACCTTTTAACCTGTTGACTCATCATCATTCTGAGTTGTTCTATTTTTGAGACCTAAATCCATGCTTTCAGGAGACTTGTGTGGTTTGAAAAATGAAAATAAGTTGCTTAGGAATTTCGAGGGCCCTTGTCACCACAGATGTGGCAGTTGTGTGTACGCGTGCGAGCACGTATGGGTAGTCTGCATAAGCATTTACTTTTTTTTCACTGGGGATTGAACTCAGGACCTTGTGCTTACAATGCAGTCGCGGTGCCACTGAGCTAAATTCCCAGCCAAGCACTAATTTCTTGATGGATGAGAATTCAGATAATTTTGGTGGGTGGAGATCTTTTAAAATTGAGGTGAAAAAATAGAGTTGCATTTTTTAAAAGTAATAATTTAAAAACCTGGCCCTAGGGCGTGATTCTCAGCACGTCTTCCGGGAGGCGGAGCTTGTGTTACTCTCTAGAACTCCCAAGTGGGCCTCTTCTCTGAAGCGGCAGTGCCTAAAGCCTCACCATATCCTCCTCCCAGGCTGACGTGTGCCACGCCTACCAGATCATCCACCGCAATGGGATCCCGGACGAGCAGATCGTCGTGATGATGTATGATGACATTGCCTACTCAGAAGAGTAAGTGGAGAGCACTTTGAACTTGGTGGCAAAGTGCAACATGAAAAATAAAAAATGACACACAGAGCTGTGGTCTAGTGTAGAATGTAAACCTCCGCCCAGATGAGAGGCATCAGGAGTGCCCTGGATTGAGCATTGAATACAACTCAGGGGCAGCCTGGCAGGGGCAGCCTGGCAGGGGCAGCGACGAAGGGAATGGAGCCCAAGGTGGGTTCTGCGGTGCCTGTTCCTAATTCCCGAGCCAGGTCTGGCACAGGGAGACGGTGCACGGGGCGGGCGGTGTTTGTGTGTTAGACCCCACTGGTGTCCCTTCTCCTACTCTCATTGAATTTAAGTTTTCAGTGGTTCTCATGTGCCCACTTACCTGGTCTTTGAGGAAATGAGGCAAAGCAAGTACAGCACCACACCTACCTAGTTCCAGCTTCCTCAGCTGCCTGCAGTGGTCCCTGGCCCTTTACTGAGATCACATTCCTCACTCTCTGGGGATCCATTCCAAGCCTTCGGCCCAAGACCTTGGTGTTCAAGTCATTTTTTTTTTTTATAAGAAGAGGAGTTTGGCCCTGAGATCTCTTGGTGAGATCTTGTGCCAGATGCTGTGTGGTGTGAGTTGCCTCTGCTTTGGTCCCTGTCATCCATTTTTAGAGTTCTGCCCCTCTCCAATCCTGCCGTGAGTTCTTGGGTTGTGGGACTGAGATACCCAGGCTGGCAAAGCCACCGGCACATTGATGGCCATGCCGGTGATGACGAGTGTCTTCACAGGACATAGGTGTTTACTGTTTTTTCACATAATGGGGACATACTGCAGAAAGACTTCAGAGACATGTCACATTTTGTATTTCAACTGTGTCCTTTAATTTTCAGAAACCCCACTCCAGGAATTGTGATCAACAGGCCCGGCGGCTCCGATGTGTATAAGGGAGTCCTTAAGGATTACACAGGAGAGGTGAGCACCTTCTGGGGTTGGAGCCGGCAGGCTGTTTTCATTCCAGTGAAGATTTTTCTTTCCTTCTTGTATTTGTAGAACCAGAAGCTTGCTAGACTGATTTCTAGTCAGTGTTTCAGGTTTGTCTTACATTTGGTGCTTCTGGAGTAAATTAGGGGAGGTGTTTTTGTTTTTGTTCTTGGTCTTGGTATCGAACCCAGGACCTCATGCATTCTAGGCAAGCATGCTGTCACTGAGCTACGTACCTCCCCAGCCCTTTTTTGTTTTTGGTACCTGGAATCGAACTCGGGTCCTTGTGCTTGCGAGGCAGGCAGTAGAACCAGTGAGCTACATGCCCGGCCTTTAGCCGTATTCTCACTGTGTTGCCCAGGCCGGTCTCAAACCCTTGGGTTCAGGTGATCCTCCTGCCTCACCCTCCTCAGCAGTAGGGACTGCGAGTGTGCATTTCCATGCCCTGCTCAATTATGAGAGTTTTAAAAGAGAAAAGGGAAAAAGGAAAGTGTTCAAAATAAATTGCAGCCCAATGATACTTAGTTGCTAGTCTTTGCATGTTATATGCCTGATCTTTCCTTCAATAATAACCTGATTTTCTTGAGGTATTGCCATTAATCTGATCTTAGATTATCTGTGATTAGCTTTCTCAGCCCTGGGACCAATTCACAATATCTCAAAATTTTCCTAAACATGGATTTTGGTTAATTATTATTATACTATATCACCTACAAAAATGTTTCTATTCCTCCAGTTGATTGATACCATATAAAGTGACACATATTTAACAATACCAAAATGAGTTTATTCTCACAGTTTTCATAATCTTCGGAGGATCTAGTTGTTGCAGCAAAGAAACATTTATTTGAAGTTTAGCATTTCTTTCAGTTTTTGTTTCTTTTTTATTTGTTTTTTGAGTTAGGATCCTCCTGCCTCAGGCTCCCAAGTGCTGAGATTACAGTCATGTGCCACCATGCTCAGTTAGCTGGTCCTATTATGTAGTTAATGTGACGAAAGGTTTGGACTTTGGATAGTAGGATTTTTTGGTGAGCTTTTATTTTTATTTTTTTTCCCTTGCAATACTTTTAATGATGAAGTATGAGTTTTACAAAATTCTGTATAAGGACAGTGAATATTCTTGGGATGAAGCCTCTTGGCCTCTGTAGCTCCAGAGTGCTCTTCCCTGCTGCCATTTTTCCTCTCTTGCTGGCACCTTGGTGTTCTCCACCCAGACTTATTAGTGATGAGGATGAGGGGAAGGCTTGCCGAGTCTCCACCAGCCACAAACAAGACAGGGCTTACACAGGTGCGCACAGGGTGCCCTGTGTTCTCGGGGGTGTGGGGCAGCAGCCTGGGCCTGCGGCGGGCTCCAGGAACTGTCCAGGTGAGACTGACCGCTGCCTCTGATGCTGCCTCCGTTCTGTGCAGGATGTGACCCCAGAAAACTTCCTTGCGGTGCTGAAAGGTGACGAAGAGGCAGTGAAGGGCAAAGGGTCTGGAAAAGTCCTGAAGAGGTAAACGTTGGGCTGGGAAGTATTTCACCTTGTTGCTTCTTGTGTGCATCTGAGAGAAATCACAGCTGGGGCTTCACGCTTGCCTAGGACGGGTAGGGGTGTCTCTCACAGGGTGACATTTCCACGGCTTCTCTTGACAGCCCATTTCTGTGCTGAACTAACCCCATCATCTAGGGTCCTTCGCTTGTTTTTCCTGCCTTTCTTCTTTTTAAGGACAGTACTAGGGATTGAACCCAGAGACTTTGCACAGAATTACATATCCAGCCCTTTCTCTATTTTTTTATTTTGAGACAGGGTCTCGTTAAGCCACTTTTCTTTGTTACCTGTGGAGCGCTGGTCTGTCCCATGACCAAGGAAGCTCACTGAGACAGGTGTGACTCCCTGCAGGGGTCAGGCTGCAGACCTCCACTTGCTTCCCTCCTGCACTCTGGTCGAAGGTCAGCCCCGTGGGGAGGACTAACATTTGCCTTGGGGAAAACCAACTCAGGGTTTTTGCCCCTTTAGTTGTAAGCCAGGGATTCTCACCGCTTCCCATTTGCTTAGGTAGGCGCCTGAGATTGAATTTCTGATTAGCCAAAAGGGAGGCCTGGGAACGAGCTGAGCTTACTGAGCTACAGTGGAGAGGGGCATCTGTGCAGGGAGTGCACAGGACCCAAGTGCGCCCTGGCTGAGTCCCTGTAGCCCGAAGCCGTGTCTTCCTGCCAGGGCCCTGGGGTGCAAAGAAGAGGAGAGGCGCAGGGCTGTGCGTCCTGCCTCCTTGCTCACTGGGGGTGACCTAGCTGGGCAATGTGGCTGCCTGGGATGAAGCCCATTTTCCAAGGACCCCCTGTAACCTACTGTCCAGATCCCACCAGGCTGCCGGCCAGCGGTCTCCTCCAGCCTACATACAGTTTTGGGGCTCTCGGCTGGAGGTGATGGTACAGAGAAGTGTGTGGGGACAGAGCAAGGCAGCCACGTGCAGTGCCCCATGTTCCTTTCCAACCCTGGTTGGGCAACCACAGTCCTCACACTTCTTCATAACTTTTTGATGCGGGCAGCCTTTCAGAGAAATGGAAATAGAAATAGGAAGCTGTCATCCTCTGGTTCTTATCCCCACTCTTCTATCTTGGCAGCGGTCCCCGAGATCACGTGTTCATTTATTTCACTGACCATGGAGCACCTGGAATACTGGCTTTTCCTAATGATGATGTGAGTTTTATTTTGTTTTTGGTACCGGGGATTGAACTTGGGCCCTTGCACTTGCAATGCAGGCGGTGAAACCACTGAGCTAAATCCCCAGCCTGTGAGTTTTATTTTGAACTGTGCACATGCGTGCGTGCGTGTGTGTGTGTGTGTGTGTGCATGCTGAGAATTGAACACAGGGCTTTGAACATGCTAGGCCAGTACTCTACTGCTGAGCTATACCCCTGGCCATTTTTCTTACCATTTTAAAGTCTAATGTGGAAAATAGAAAACAAAGCCTATATGCCGAAATTAAACCTGTGGTGTGTGTTTTCTAATGTCCTACCATAGTTTTGTACAGATGGCAGGTCTGTGTGGAGGACATAGCAACTTGAAGTCTTTTTTTATTTTCCCCTGGTACTGGGGATCGAACTCAGGACCTTGTGCTTGCGAGGCAGGCACAGTGCCACTGAGCTAAATCCCTGGCCCACAACTTGAAGTCTTAAGCAGGACATCTCTTCTGGCTGGTGTCCCTACATCACAGCACCACAGGCTGGGTGTATTACACTAGACACAGCACACGGAGCTATCAATGGAGAAGTGAATTTTCTTTCCTTTATTTTTTTTGGTACCGGGGATTGAACTCAGGACCTTGTGCTTGTGAGGCAGGTGGTGGAACCACTGAGCTAAATCCCCGGCCCTGTTCCCTTCTTAAATACATGAAAGGACCCTTGAGCTGACATTCTGGGGATTTTACTGATCACCCTGGTTACTTGTAGGGATTGGTGGAAAAGAATTTCTGTCGATGGCTTAGCCAGCCTGTGGTTTGTCTGGGTGGGTATGTGCTTCTGAGCATTGATGTTCTTTCCTCCCAGCTCCATGCCAAGGACCTGAACAAGACCATCCGTTACATGCACAAGCACCAAATGTACCAGAAGGTAGCGGCAGCCCTTAGGCCAGCTTGGGGGAGGCACGTGAGGTGGGCAGCGGGAGAGGAGTCCCAGTCGTACCCTGTGACCAGCCCTCAGACCAGCCGCCTGGATTTTCCTTCCAAGTGGCACTGACCCATGGTGTCCTGGGATTAATATTTTGTGATTCTAGAGCCTTAGCTATTTGATCAGAATCATAGAGATCTTTTTAGCCAGCATGGGCCTCACCCCTGGGTTGAGCCCAGCAGTCTGAGGGCAAAGCTGCCACAGACAGGTCTGGGGACCACACTGGGGATGGCTGTTCTGAAGATGAGCTCCGGGTTTGGGCAGTTGGGGAAGAAGACTATCCCTACCACTACCCTTATTATTTTATTTCCACTTTGGTCCTCTCACCTCTCTGGCACCCTTTCTAGAAACCATGGAGGGGGAGGATGGGGATAGCCAAGATGGTAAGGCAGAAAGATGGCCTTTGGAACCATTTCCTGTATGGGGTGGTGCAGCTGTTTTCCTTAGCATCAGATGGCCTCATATTTCCTGCCTTGTGTCAGCCAGTAGATTTTTCTACCCCGCGAGCAGTGTCCAGTGGCTTCCATAGCCCTGGCAATAGCCTCTTTAGTCTCCCTAAAGCCAAAGTGAAAGACTCCAGCGTGGATGGCGGGAGTGTCAGAGCCCAATAGTGGTGGCCGGGCTGGGCGGGGCTCACCTGTCTGTCTGCCTGCCAGATGGTGTTCTACATCGAAGCCTGTGAGTCTGGCTCCATGATGAACCACCTGCCCCAGGACATCAACGGTAGGTATGGGGCTGGGGGCAGTGGGTCGTCTTCAGACACTGCTGATGGGAAGGAAGCAAGTGTGCCCAGAGGAGGGCCTTACAGGCAGCCTAGTGTGCAGACACGAGGATGTGCTCTGCGCTGTGGTAGGTCCTTCAGGACTAGTATAGTCAGGGGAAGAAGATTCTGGAGCGAGCTTCTCTGTGCATTTCCAGGTTCTAGCAAAGTTCTTACCTCCAAAAGCACTTGGGCTGTGGAACACATGGTCCTTTTGATGTGTTGGTCGTTGGCTGTTGGGTCTCACTCAGGCGGGTGATGTCGGTTGACCTCAGTTGTCCCCATCTGCGGAGTTACATTTTATACGAGAATGGCATCCAGCACAATTCTGAGCCCATGGTTCTTGGGCCTAACAGAGTGAATGGCAGCTATTGTAAAGTTTTAGTCCTACTGAATATTTAAAAAATTATATTCCATTTAAAGAATTTTTTTGGTGTTACTGGGGATTGAACCCTGGACCCAGGGTCTCGCCCATGCTAGGCAAGCGCTCCACCTCTGACCCACATCCTCAGCCTACATCTGAATGTTTCATTGTTAACCCTGTCTCTCTGGAAACCAAATTAGGCCTACCTTTGACCTCCTGAACTATTAAGTTTGTCAGCATTCTTCTAATACAGCAGGATGTTTAAGCACGTGCATTTGCTTTTTTTTCAGTGCTGGGGGTAGAAGCCAGGGCGGCATGCATGCTAGGCAAGCTCTCTACCAGCTCTCTACCACTGAGCTACGTCGCTATTCCTTTTTTAAAAAGCATTTTCATTTCCTTATTGCTGTGAACAGACTGTCATTGGCTTCTCTTTTCTTCCACTTTAACTGCACAGTTAGTGAAGCCTGGTCACAGTTGTGTTCACCCATCCCCCGTCCCTGTCCTGTGCTGTATAGGTAGGTGGCAGGCAGGATGCAAGCTCACCAGGGCAGAAGGAAGGACCCAGCTTCCTGTGCAGTCCCTGGCGGGGCATAGAGTGTGACTCAAAGATCCCTTTGATTCCTTGTAGTTTATGCAACTACAGCTGCCAACCCCAGCGAGTCCTCCTATGCCTGCTACTATGATGAGCAGAGGTCCACGTACCTGGGTGACTGGTACAGCGTCAACTGGATGGAAGACTCGGACATGGTGAGACCTTGGGGACCTGCCATGTACTTGCAGTTGAATGGTCAGGCTCTGGTCCCGCAGGCCCTCACTTTCCCTTTTACAGGAGGATCTGAGCAAGGAGACACTCCACAAGCAGTATCAGCTGGTGAAGTCCCACACCAACACCAGCCACGTCATGCAGTACGGGAATAAGGTGAGTGTGTGTTCCCTGCTCCTCACCTGGAACCTTTATCTCTTGGTGAAGCAAAATGGATCCAGGTGAGGGTGGTGAGGAGGGACAGCTCTGCCTTGCGTGGCCAGTCCATCTGGGGACCCTCTGAGGCTGTGAGTGTCATCTTAGCAACAAATGTCTTCAAGAAACAATGTCTTCTATAGCCATGGCAGGATTCAGGAGAGGGGCCCCCACAATCCTTTGCTCCTCATACCCCAGAGGCCTGAGCTCATTTCCTAATGGAGAACAGAGGCGCCTCTGCCCTGCACGCTTTCTTCTCCTCACACAGTGCTGAGGCTGGTTTCCTTGCCCACCTACTCTCCTGTGCAGCAGGAGGGGTGACTCTGGGGAAGCCCATGGTGTGTGTGCGTGACAGTGGGCTGGCACACCTGGTGCTGCGTTCCACAGCAGCTTTCACCATCTGAGAGCTTGCTTCTGGGATCTGAGCTTTCTGTGCAGCACCGGCCTTCTAGGAGAGGAGAGGGCAGGGAAAGTCCAGCCCATCAGCCCTTCCCTGCAGAATAGGGGCTGTGAGCCTATGGGATGCAGGAAGTGTGCCCAGTACCCTGGGGCCATGGGCATGGGAAAGAACGGGGCAGGGGAAGGAAGCGCAGGGCAGGTGTTGTTGCCCTGGTCCCGTGGCTTCTGCCCTGGGATTTTCTTTTTCTTACATCACCCTCAGCATTGGCTGTATTTGGTGGCAGATCATTTCCAAATTTCGTGTTTGTGAATATTTGTGTGTTTTCAGTTTTAGTTTTGGAACTGTTGGTAGAGGATTGCTGCTTGGCTGGGGGACAAGAATGCATACAGCCTTTCTCCCCTGGTGGCCGAGAGTCTGCTAACCTGTGAGGCACATGGGGCCTGGAGCTGAGTGTCAGCCCGGCCATTCTGTGCCCTGGCTGTGCCATTCTTAGCTCCAATCTGGACACATGCTCACCACCTCTGGCTGCTGGTCCTTAGGGTCAAGCTGAGCACAGTCCAGGGTTGCCAGGGATCCAAACAGCTCTGGCCCCAGCCCCACTTTCCGTGGATCAGTGGTTGTCGTCATGTGTGAAAGCAGAGCTGTTGAGGTATTTTTGAAGTTTCTCATTGGTAGATCTCAGGTGCCCAAATGTGTTACCTTGCCTACTGCTGGGGGCTCACCTCATGTTTTTAGGCTGTGACTGAGACTGCTAAACCACAGGAGTCTTCTTCAGAGGGATGGATGCAGGGGACATTCCTCATATCTGGTCCTTCCATCTGAGCCAGTTTTTTTCTCTCTTTCCAGTCCATCTCTGCCATGAAAGTGATACAGTTTCAAGGAGTGAAGCACAAAGCCGGTGCCCCAGTCTCTCTGCCTCCGGTCACACACCTTGACCTCACTCCGAGCCCGGAAGTGCCCCTGGAGATCATGAAAAGGAAACTGATGAGCACCAATGATTGGAAGAAGTCCCAGAGTCTCATTAAGCAGATCCAGCAACATCTGGATGTAAGTAGTGCTCACAGGGACCTTCGTGGGGCTGTGCCCAGCCGAGGTGCACAGTGTGTGAGAGCTTGGGCCCTGCCTGCTGCTGATGGGTGCCCAGCAATGCTCTGAGCCAGCTGGTAGAACTTGTCATCCCCCCTGCTGCACACGAGAGTAGGTGGGCAAGGAAACCAGCCTTGGCGCTATGTGAGGAGAAGAAAGCGTGCAGAGCAGAGGCGCTTCTGTCCTCCATTAGGAAATGAGCTCAGGCCTCTGGGGTGTGAGGAGCAAAGGATTGTGGGGGCCCCTCTCCTGAATCCTGCTATGGCCGTGGCTATAGAAGACATTGTTTCTTGAAGACATCTGTTGCTAAGAAGGCATTTTTGTTTTGAAGTTTATTGCATTGTTAGCTAATCAGTTTTTAAAAGATCCAATCCACAAAGAATTTTTGCTGTGTCGGACAACCATGGGCATAAGCCCTTCACAGGTGTGTGGGCTGTCCTCACTGCTGAGGGTCTCCGTAGTAGCTCAACCATGGATTAAACACTGGCAGATTTATTTTTCAGATGATTGTTGGGCCCTCGCTGAGTTCCTGGCAAATGGCTTGCCTGTTCCTTCCAGCAAACAAATCTGTGTTAACACTGGTTCCATCATCATAATAGTAGGGCGATTAATGCACTGAAGTCTGGCTTGGATTTTCTAGGAAAGATAAAAGCAAAAAACTAAATAACTATGTGTTTTAAGTGCATTTATCTAAGTAGTCTCCAAAAGGGAATGCCGTACATGTGACAGCATGTGTACCCAAGATAGATATATATATTTATATTTATTTATTTTTTAAGATAGGGTCTTGCTGAATATTGCAGGCTGGCCTTAAACTCATTTAGTAACCCAGTCTGGCCTTCAAAGTATAGCGATTCTCCTGCCTCAGCCTCCCAAGTGCTGAGATCATGGGTGTATGCCATCACAACCAGTTTAGAACACCTTTTTAGCTGGTGTAAATAGAGTTTGACACTCCTGCTTTTTAGTTTTGGGTCTCTTTACACTCTTTAATTATTATTTTATTCTTTCCTCATTGAGTTTATTGGTACATTTTAGGTCTACAGTATAGTTACATTCATTATTGGGATCTTGTACCTTTACATGACAGGTCTTGGTTCTCATTTTTTCCCCTTGTCCCTGTCCTCCTTTCACCCCCTCCTCCCCTCCCCATTTACAAACACTTTATTTCCATTTTTTCATTTTCTCATATTTTTTTCTTTTCCCTTATTACCTTTCCCCTACCCTTCCCACTTTCCCTATGCCTTTAGCCCTTTCCTTCCTATTACAGTCTTTAATTATTGATCCCAAAGAGCTGTTGTTTTTGGTGGGTTATGTCTGTTGAAACTTACCATGTTTGAAATTAAAATGACCCAAAAGGGCATTTTATCCTTGTCTTTTTGATAGTTCTTAAAAACTGAGCCGGGTGTGGTGGTGCACGCCTGTAATCCCAGCACTTGGGAGGCTGAAGCAGGAGGATCACTGTGAGTTCGAGACCAGCTTGGGCTACACAGTGAGTTCCAGGTCAGTCTCAACTACATAGTGAGACCCTGTTTCGAAAAACCAAAAACAAACAAACAAAAACAAAAAACTGAACTGGAATTTCTTGTATTTGCTTGGACAACTATATAAATCATACAGGGTTTATCTGGTATCTGCTGCAAATTTGAAAACTGTTTCTAAGCCTGAGTGCTTCTTACCAGATTCCACTTTCCTGGTAACTATTACATCACTACATTCTTGTGCAATTAAAGAATTCCGATAAGAAATGAAAACAGATTTTTAAAAAAACCCACTGAACTCATTCTGAAGTAACCATAAGCCCATTTTGTGTTCGTGTATTTAATCACCATTTTCCACAGCTGAGATAGTGATTGCTTGCTGTGTTTACAAATCTGTCAGGCCTGGCCCAGGTTCCGGGAGGCAGCTGCATTCTCCTGCCCACTCCTGTGTTTACTCTGTGGGGCTCTGATGGTTCTCCTGAAGCATCAGAAGAGAATCCAGCCTTACACAGATGTAAAGCTGAGGAAGGAAGGCTCCCGGAGGTTGGAGGAGCTCTCGGGCCCTGTGGTTCTGGGCGCTGTGTACATCTGTGCAGTTCAGACCTGACAGACACAGGCTTCACCAGAGAAGGGTGAGGCGGAGACTTGGTTGTGAAGTGAGGTCACTGTGGAGCAATGTCCTGGTGAAGAGGCTGTTTTCCACCTGGGAAGAAAGTGAAGCCCCTCTGTGCCCTCTGCCTAACCATCCATAGTTTCCTGAACCAACCAGCTGAGGGGGCCCAGACACATGCACTGCCTTTCTTGGGATGAGTCTCCAGCTTGCTTTGGGTATTAGCTGTAGACGTTTCCACTGTGCTGGGAGACCCTAGAGGGCAGGCTGTCCCAGCTGTCACAGAACTTTTCTCTCGCAGCTCCGAGGGTGGTGTGGAAAGCCTTTAAACGTGCTGAGCACCCTGTGGGTCCCGGAAGCTGCATTGAGGGCACCACATCTTGAAGAATCCTTTCTCCGCAGGTTCGGCACCTCATTGAGAAGTCGGTGCGTAAGATCGTCTTCTTGCTGGCAGGGTCCGAGGCTGCGACCGAGAGGCTTCTGACTGAGAGAGCCCCTCTCACGGAGCATGACTGCTACGAGGAGACCGTGACACACTTCCGCACACACTGCTTCAACTGGCATTCGTCCACGGTGAGGGGAGCATTCCCGCCCCTGAACCCCAAGGCTGACCTCTGCTGCCTGCCACAGATCGCCTCTGGAGGGTCCACTGGGATGAGGATGCAATGGGCTCATTTCAGGGGTCTTAGCTGGAGATGAAAGTTCACAACTAGGTCTTGGCCCAGAGCAGTGGGCGGGAGAGTAGCTCAGTGTCATGGATAACAGCTCCCATTAACACTGGCTTTGAAGGGCACATAACTTCTTTTCTGCTGGTTCAACCTGTCTCTCACGAGCCACATGTGTGTCCTCCCTACTGGGTCCCTCGTGAGCCCTCCCCACAACGTATGGTTGAAGTTAGTAGACGGGGAGGGAAAATGAAGTTTGCGCTGAAGGTAGAAAGTCAGAGTTGAAAGCCTGGTGCCCATTTCTGTGGGATGCTTGGATCTTGCTAGAGGAAGGTTGGCAAACCGTGGCCTGCAGATCAAGCCCTGTCCAAACTCTCTTCTTCCCCCTTAGCCTGTCTTTGTATAAGAGGTTTCACTGGGACCCGGCCATGCTCTGCCTTGGGCCTCCTGTCCAGGGCAGCGTTCATACTGCAGTAGGGCAGAGCTGCGGTGACTGTACTTTATCCCTGGTCTTACTTTCCTGCCCTCTAGAATTACTTAAAATGAATCCTCTTCCTTGTGGTTGTATCCAGCTCCTCGGGAGTTCTAAGATAAGCATTGCTGGTTATTTCAGTCCTACCCAGTGTGGTCCAGCTCAGGGGTTTCCAGAGTGAAGTCAGAGTTCCGGGAGAGGTTGGAAGTTCAGATTGAGACACGATAGCAGGCTCTGTGCAGACTCTTGCGTGTGTTTGTCTTTCTCGAGAGAGGGTCTGTAAATATCACCGGATTATCAGTAGGAAGAGGGGACCCGTGAGCCCCTGGCTGAGAAGCTTTGTCCCTGTGACTGCAGAAGGGGGAGCTATCCCGAGCTTAAGAGCTGACTGCCGGGTGAGCTGAGATGTTTGATTCTCCGTTGTTTCCTTCCAGTACGAATATGCCCTGAGACACCTGTACGTCCTGGTCAACCTGTGCGAGAAGAAGTATCCATCTGACAGGTAAAGTGGCACTAACCTTTGAACAGTGGGTGTCTTTCTGAAAATGGCAGGGAGAATGCGGCTGTCCTTTGTGCAAGTGAGACACTGGCCGCCAGGATGCAGGACAGCTGAGTTCTCAGTGACAGTGTCGGGCAGATCTGTCCCCAGTGACTGCTCCACGTGGGATTGCGTGTCTTCCTTCCCACCAAGCTCTTCTTCCTGTCTCCAACAGGATAAAGTCGTCCATGGACAAGGTGTGCCTCGGTTACTACTGAACAGCTGCCTTCTCAGTGCTTCTCCACGTGTGACACTATCCCTTAAAATGTGCTCCCCAGAGGTTGCGGAGGTGGGGCCAGCAGGAAGCCTGGCTGCTGGGGCCCACGGAGAATGCAGTCAGGCCGCCCGGCTTTGCCCCAGGCCTCTTTTACAGGACCCCTGCCCTCCTTAACTGCCCAGTCCACAGGATATGTGTATGAAGCTCTGAAGAAGCCACAGTGGGGTGGACAAAGCTGTGTTGAGAAAGATTCATTTGCTTTTTAAGAGGTTTTTTTGCCCATTCGTTTTCAAGAGCAAGAGGTTCACTGGGGCTTCCGTAGCCAGTGAGAGAATCTTCGCTCTGAGAAATTTGAAGCTGAAACCTCTCTGAAGTCTTCAGATGACTTTACTGAAGAGGACTGTAAGCCCCCAAATGGAAAATTATTTTTAGAAAATATTGTAACTTTGATGGCTTTTGTATTTTATTCTGCAATAATGGACAAGTCTTAAAAAATAAAGATTTATAATTGGAATCAAGTATTCATTTCTGGTCCCTGACTATCATTTATGCTCCTGGCCTGTGTCTCCTGTTTTTCCTGGCCTTGTGCTTCTCCCTCCTTCTCTTGGCATCTGCAGTTTTGTACTCTGTGGAGTTTTTAGCCCCCAAGCACTCACCCCTTGCTGTTCCTCTTGCCCTAGAATGCCTTTCCCTGCATCGGCACAGACCCTCGGCTGGTCTTGCAGTGCCCCTCACCCCTTGAAGCTTCCCTGTCCCCACTCGGCACATGGGCAGTCCGTGCCCCTCTGACCATGATGTCGGGCCCGGCTGACACCACACGCAGGTGCTCAGTTTGTCCCTTTTCCCTGGCTCAGTGCACAGGTCCTGCAGTGGGCTTGTTAAAGATGTGAAGGCTGTGCTAACTGCAGCCAGTGCAATGTTGTGCAGCTACAAAAAGGAATGAGGTGCATATGCTTGCTACGGCATTGAGAAAATTGAAAGAAGCCAGCAGCCAAGGTTGCATATTACATGGTTCTATTTATATGAGATGCCCCGAATATGGAAATCTGTAGAGACAGGGCTGTTCAGTGGGCCCAGAGACCAGGGGCAGAGGGAACTGGGGAGTGAACTGCTGAGGGGTATCAGGTTTCTTTTGAGGATGATGAAAATGTTATAAAAGTGGAAATGGTTGTATAGCTTTGAATACACAGTCAACCCATAACATTTACGTAAACTGTCCAGGTCTGTTTATGCACAGATTTGTTTTTGGAGATTTGAGAGAATTTGGAAAAATGGATGACTTGTGTAGCCTAGAAATATGAAAAAATTAAGAAAAAGATGCTATAGATTCGTTAAAAATATATATATATACTTTGTCATTACTATCAAATATATACAAATCTATTATAAAAAGTTAAAATCAAAACACCAACCAACACAAGACCACACATCTTGCCATTTACAGCTGAGAGAAATGTAAACAAACGTGATATGAAATAGTGGATAAAGCTAGCCACGGTCCATACCGAACTGTGATGATTGTGCAGTTCAAGAGTGTGACGTCCACTTAAAATGCCATTTCTAAGGGACTTTACCTCTCCAGTAAATGGTCACAGTAAAGAGTGATCTTTCCTCTTGTGTGTTTTTCACTGGATTTAATATATATAAAATGTGTAGACATCTCAGGAAAGCTTCTGGTCAACAGCAGACTCTTGGTAGTTAGGTTTGAGGCAAGTTAAAAAATGTTCAACTAATTGAGAGTTGGTAACCCTAACCCCTGTGTTGTTCAAGGGTCATCTGTCTGAAAAGCTCGAATATTTCACTTCAGTCTGTTGTTTTTTTTTTTTTTTTGAGATAGGGTCTCACTGTGTTGTCCAGGTGGCCTTGAACTCATGCCAATTCTCCTGGCTCAACTTCCAGAGTACTGGGATTACAGACGTGTGCCACCATACCTGGCTTATTTTACTTTAAATGGAGGAAATCACATAGCGCGTAAATTGTGTCTCAAATTGTAAAAAACAAAAAAACCCAAAAACCTCTAGATGGCTCATGTTAGTCACTTTTCTGTTCCTGGGATAAAATATCTGACATTCACAGTTTAAAGGAGAAAAGGAAATTAATATCAGCTCCCGGTTTTAGTCCATGGTCAGGTGGCTCAAAGGCAGAAACACCATAGCAGAAGGGCATGATGGGGGAATTTGCACACCTCATGGCTGCCAGGAAGCAGAGAGAAAGGGAAAGAGTGAAAGGGGCCAGGGACAAGATAGGCCCTTCAAAGGTGCACCCCACTGACCTGCCTCCTCTAACTGGGTCCTGCTGGCTACTAGTCCATTCAGCTAGGAGCTCACCAACCGATTATCAGTGATGAGGTTAGGTCCTTCACGATCCATTCACCTCCGTGGGCCCCACCTCTGAACATTGCTGCAGTTGGGATCAAGCCCCAAACGCATGAGATTTTGAGGGACAACTCAATTTAAACCATAATATGGCTGTGTGGACAGATAACAAAGAAAAAAAGTAGCCTGAACTAAACCCAGATGCTCTGATGAACCGTCTCTGTGTACCTATCTTGTTTGGATGTGTGTGGCTCCTGTAACTCTTGAGCTTAGGGACTGGAAGTTGAGATGCTGGCAAATAACATTATGTCTGATATATTCAAGGGTGACACTTCTGTTTCTAATGGGCCCATTTTTCATCAGCACCAACAGATTCTCTTACTTTCTTATGGCTGTGCAGGTGACTCTAGGATAGAGAACTTCACTGTCTGAGGTTCTAGGGAAGCACTCTGCCTTTGTTGTCTCTGATGCTTAGCAGTGAGAGAAGCCTGGGCTGGTTGATGGTCAAAGAAAAGCAAATACCATGAAGTGCACTTTTAAAAGGGAGAACCTTAAGCCTGAAGATACAGCGGTAAGAAGTTTATCCCTTTATCTTCTAGAACTGCTGACTAACCCCAGGACCTTGCTCTCTCTTCTCATTTGTTCCTCTGAGGAATGAAAGTATACTTAATGATTTAATAAATACAGAGTCTGATTGCTAATGTTCTAAAGATGAAAAGCAGATGAAAGGGCCGGGGATTTAGCTCAGTGGTCCAGTGGCCTGCCTCGCAAGCGCGAGGACCCGAGTTCGATCTCCGGTACCAAAAAAAAAGCAAAACAAAATGAAAAGCAGATGAAAAACAGCTTCATACTTCACAGTGATTTGGCCTTTTCCCTCCTCATAAAACCCCAGTAAAAATGGGCTTTCTGTCCCTTGAATTAAATCATTTTGTATTAGATTTCAGTCTGTAAGCGAAATTACTTTGCTATAATAAAATACATTAATTGAATATCCTGTTAACAAAAGAACTTTATTTCTCACAGCTCTGAAGGTTGAGAAGTCCAAAATCAAGACATATATCTGTGTGGGCTCGTGGATATTTACACCTGTAGTTCACGAACCCTGTGCTTCTGTATTAAACTATGCATAAGTTTATACTCATGTCTACAAGCCATTATCATGTGTAATCATTCTAGCTTCTTGTCCTTTCTTATATTTAAACTCCTGCTTCATCAGGGACAAACATGGCACCCACCAACCACCATCCATTTCATTAATTGTTTGATTTCAGTATACATGCGTTGCTGTATCAGAATGGTTCCCCACTGGGGGACAGTTTTTTCAAGTACAGTACAGTCCTTACGTATAGTTACTTTTTAAGTAATTGTCTTTACTCTGATACATTCATTCCCAAAATTCCTTAAGTGGGCTCCTTCCCTCCCATAATATAGTTGGATTATTTTGTAGCAGACTGCATTGGAATTCTGGGATTCTCTGACCTTTTAAGGGCTATTTTTAAAATTGTTCACAATAAGGCTCACTCTTTATGCTGGAAAGTTCTGTTTTGGTAAATGCTTAATGTCAAATATCCACCATAATATTTTGATCCTAAAAGTCCTCTCTGTTTCAGTTACTTAACCTTCCCTTCACCCTCAGCCCCTGGGCAACCACTGTTCTGTCCCCTAAAGGCCTGTGTGTTAGAGTCTTGGTCCCCAGCTTGGTGTTACTGGGAGGTGATGGAACCTTTAAGAGGTGGAACCTAGTGGGAGGTCATAGATCATTGGGGGTGTGTCCTCAGAAGGGATAATGGGACCCCAATCTTTCTTCTCTTTTGTGCGGGGCCATGATGTGAATGGGTTCCTTCCACCCACTTTCCTGCCAGGAAGGCCAGTGCCACCACTGGTCCAGGGCAATGGAGCCAATCAGGCACAGACTGAAACTGTGAGCAAAATAAAGTTTTCCTCTTATGGTTTTATTTTATTCTACTGTTATAGTTTTGTTTTTCTGAGATAGGATCTCTGTAGCCTAAGCAGCTCTTGAACTCACAATCCTCCTGCCTCAGCTTCCTGAATGCTGAGATTATAATCATGCACCACCACCCTCAGCTCAGGTTTTCCTCTTTATAAGTTGATTATCACAGGTATTTTGTTTGGTAATGGAAAGCTGATAACACATATGTAGTATTACGTGATTGTCCTAATTTACAATTCCTTAAAGACAAGTCAAATTGAGCATCTTTCCATATGCTTATCTGCCGTCTGTATATCTTCTTTGGTGAGGAATCTGTTCAGATATTTTGCTTATTATAAAATTAAGTTGTTTTCTCAATTGATAAAATCAAGAGTTCTTTGTGTATTTTGCATATAAATCCTTTATCCTATATGTTTTATAAATACTGGTCTTCCAGTCCATGGCTTGCCTCTACATTTACTTAACAGTATCTTTTGCACACAGGTATTTTTGATATTAGTAAAGCCAAATTTATCTTTTTTCTTTCATAGGACATGCTTTCGGTAGCCTTCATTTACTAAAATAATTCATTTATTTTCCATCTTTTCCTATTTGAGTATTTCCTCTTGTGTTTGTTTAGCCCATAACCCTCCTACTCTGGACTTCGTCTCTGAAGTGATTCTTTTCTTTCTGATTTTCCCTTCCTGTTGCTACAATTTGAGGTTAAACACCACAGAGGCCTGTGTATTAAAGCCCTTGTCCCCAGCACGGTGGTCTGGGAGGTGGTGGGAACTTTAGGAGCTAGGGCCTTGTGGAAGG